ACACATGAAGCTTTGACTTCACTTAAAGAACCGGAGGTTGTCTCCTGAGGGTAATCCATGACTTGCACCACTTTGAGCTGAAGCGATCAGAAGTTAAACATTAATGATCATACTTCAACGTGGACAAAATAAAATTTACGGTTTTATTTTGAAAATATATTTACTCAGTAATATTACTATGCTACCATATCTGCCTTTAATAAAATATACAAATCATCTAAAATCTTCGTTATGTAATAGTACAGAAGTATTATGATCAAAATGTACTTAATTTATCAAAAGTAAAAGGATTTAAAGCTCATGTGTTTAGGCACAATAAAAACAAATCAGTATTATTATCATTATTCCCTTTTTAATAATAATAATAATCTTCACAGTAACACAAACTGCAACACTCACAATAAATGAACCGTGCTACTTTGTTCCCGTGAAGCACATTGAGTCTGTGTATGAACTGTGCTATTATAAATAAATAATAACATACGCTTTTATTCTGAAGGAACACAGTGTATCCACGGACAACAGCGATCCCGTTTCCTGTTTCGTTTGTTGTTGTCCCGTTCTGTTTCCGGTGTGGATGCGGACGCAGCTTGTTGATGGTTCCAAAATGACCAAACTGCAGCTACTGAGCGCCTACCTTACGGAGCGGCTAGCGGTCGTGGTGAAGGAGATCCTGCACGTGGTGGAGGACACGGTGACCGAGTACCGGGAGGAGACCGCGAAGACCAAGCGGGAGAACGAGAGCCTCCGGAGGCAGCTGCGGGACATCCTGCTGCTGGAGGCCGAGACGGAGTGGCTGAGTAAGGGCCGAGCTAGTCCGCTAGCTCCAGAGCGAGCGGTGCGAGAGAACCGCGTTCCAGACCGCGTTGAGAAATACACGAAGTTTAATGTTTTATAGCGAAATGACGCTAAGAGTCGGTTAGAACACGGACGTCACCGTCTGTACGGATGACGTAGGACCCGCTGGTGAATTCGGCACCTGACATAAAATCCACTCCAATCCAATTTAATGACAAATGTGTGTTTTGTGAGCCAGCTGGCGATACTTTCTCTTGTCCCTCCGAGCCTCAGCTGAGGTTCTGACAATAGATTCAACTGTTAAAAGTGAGAAACGTTACTGTTTGGATTTGATAACAATATGCCGAATTAACCCTTAACACGTGTTGATACAGGATTGGTTGAACAACACATGCTGGTGTGTTTCTATTGAACATAAAGCAGATGAGATGATAAAGGCCGTCACAGCAGGAGGCTGCTGCTGAGCATCACTCTGAACCCAACTGCACACAGTTACTCTCTATTAGAATGTGTTATTGTATGAATGGACACAAACACATGAATGTTATTTGACCAGTAATCTGAATATTAGAATAACAGATAGTGTAATAAGAGAAGAAGTATTATTCACTGCAGAGGCTCGGTCAGATGAGACGGGGTGCTTGCTGTACTGACTCTCGTGTTGTTCCTCGTTGTTCCAGGGTCGACCCGGTCCAGTCTTGTTTTTGCGTCTCCTGAGCAACAGCTCTGTGATGCAGAACCGAGGCCCCGCTCCGAGGAGCCCGACTCCCCCCAGAACCAGCCTAGGGAGCCTCTGGAGCAGGTGGTTTCTGTGCAGCTGCTGACGGTCCAGAGCGAGACGTCTCCTATCCTTCTCCCGGGGGACACGGTGCCGGCCGAGGTGAAGCCGGACCCTCAGAGGGAGGCGTTTGGCAAAGCTTCACTTCTTCCTTCTCACTCCACCGACTCGCTTCCTAAAATCCACTTTGACGTTCCTGCCCTCCGAGAGGATCCTCCAGGCCCGGCTCTGATCAAAAGCGAACCCGAGGAACTCAAAGTGAGTGAACCTGAAGGTCACACAGACTCTCTGACGCACGTCTCACGGGAACAGTCCACCATGGTGATGCGTCCGGACCGACGCGAAGCTCACCGGCACAAAAAAAGTCAGGAGAAGGTGACGGCGGACGACGACGCGGCGGCTGGTCGCGTCCTCGAGCTCGTCCACCGCTGTCCCCGCTGCGGCGAGGCGTTCGGCCATGCCGGCGGCCTCCGCCTCCACCTGGAGCAGAAGAGGAAGACCTACGCCTGCGACTGGTGCTGCAAGTCCTTCGCGCAGTCGGCGGACCTGCGGCGCCACCTGCGCACGCACACGGGCGAACGGCCGCACCGCTGCACCTTCTGCTCCAAGAGCTTCAGCCAGAGGGGGAACCTGCGGCGCCACCTGCGCATCCACACGGGCGAGCGTCCGTACAGCTGCCCGTACTGCTGCCGCACCTTCAGCGACGGAGACACCATGAAGAAGCACAAGCGCACGCACTCGGGGGAGAAACCGTACCGATGCATCCGCTGCTCCAAGAGTTTCGCCGGCGCCAGCGGCCTGCAGATACACCTGAAGAGGGACATGTGCTTCGTGGCCAACGCCTAGAATTCTGTTCAGGAGAGCGAGACGCTGCAGGAAGAAAGGATGTGAGCGTCACATGCCAGCGTGACGCTCACATGTGCGGGTCCCAGCGGGTCGGGGAGATCGTAGTGTTCCCCCTCAGGTTTGACACTGTTAGCGCTGTTAGCACTGTGTTAGCCGCCGGCTGCTCAGCAGTTGGCATGTTGAGAGCCGTGTGGAGGCAACAGATGCTCAAGATTGAGCACCTTTAACTTAAAGGAACAGTGTGGAAGAGTTAGTGGCACCTAGTGGTGAAGTGGCAACCAACTAAATACCGCTCAGACCCCCCCCTTTATAATCATAATATAAGATGATATATATATCTACATATATCTATATATCTATCTAGCTATATATCTATATATCTATATATCGATCTATCTATATCTCTATCTATCTATCTCTATCTAGATATCGAGATATAGATATCGAGATATAGATATCGAGATATAGATATATATATATATATATCGAGATATAGATATATAGATATATATATATATAGATATATATAGATAGATTTACAGTTGTGTGAAAAAGTGTTTGCCCCCTTCCTGATTTCTTATTTTTTTGCATGTTTGTCACACTTAAATGTTTCAGATCATCAAACAAATTTAAATATTAGACAAAGATAACACAAGTAAACACAAAATGCAGTTTTTAAATGAAGGTTTTTATTATTAAGGGG